CATTGCATATAGATTCGAATAACGTGATAATTTTTGTTGGGAAATAATTCAGCAATTTGATGAATTTATTATTCCAAGTGCAAAGGGTTAATGATCAACGAACGCTACTCGTACCTTCGAGGCACCTTCGTATACCCTCGTTAGTCCCGCAGGACTTCATAAAATCGCGAGCGATCGAATCAACGCGACCAACTAAAGATCCGCCAAACAAACAAATGAATTCAATAATTCGCCAAGGCCGCCGAGACCGCTAAGAGGTCCAAGCCATCGAGTCGCCAACTATGAAGACCGCCGGCCGAGAACAATAAGCGGACTCCCGTGACGCAACGCACACACCGCCAAAACAGTGCCTGGACGATCCCCAACACAATCTCGCGGACGATCGTGCACGAACAATCAGTTTCGCGATCTCTGTCCCCGTTCCATGTTCTCCGAACGGATAGTAGAACCGGTCCAATTATATCATACGGTCTGGCCGCGACGAATCCTCGCGTGTGTGCGTCCCCCGCGCGCGTGTGTGCGACGCGCACACCGTCGTCGACGAGCTTGGGGGAGCTCGCTCAGCCATGGATCCCCATGACCCCACGACCTCACCCACGATCTTCGTCTAGCCAGGAAACTCGGCCACTCGTGAATTTTCCACGTTCTACCCGAAAGCCGCCCTCCGGAACGAAGTCTCTTTCCGTGATCCGCATGAATTCTGCAAGTCGAGACCGGCTCTCCCAGGATGCGGCTTCTCCTAGATTCTCGGGAATCATGGATTTTGACATCACGGGTTTGATTCGCGCCCGAGGAATCTCCCGACGAATCGAATTCCTTCGCAGGATTTATGCGCCCCCGGGACCCACCCCCTTCAGGCCGATAAGGCCACGTGTATGATTGATACGGTTTTTGAAAATTACTCACGGAAATTATGCGTTCGCCGGGCAGACGATTTTCCGACGGTTTCCGTTCGAAGTTTCTTCGCGCCCCTAATTGCTCATAACGAAGTAATCGCTATTGGAAAGCGACAATCGGGGTTTATTGTCTCCGAACGATGTCCTTCTTACGGTGTTTATATTCGATCGAGTCGTAAATAGCTTCCGTTTCTTTATCAGACATTTATTTTGATTTTCTATTGTTCGTTTTTTTGTTTTTTCTTTCTTACTTCATTTCTTTCGAACCCTCGTCTATTTGGCGAAAGCAAGAACCCGTTTGTCCCGGTGACTCACAGTGGGTAAATACGGACAATAGATTCTACCTAGCCGCATCGGAAGTTGCATTTATTATTAGAATATCATTCTCTTGTCTCTTACGTGTAACGGTACACGTACGAGCTCACACAAGTGTTTCTGTTCGCGATGGATTCTCGTAAATTCTGAAATCGCAACGCATTCTTTAAGTATCCGGAACCATAATAATTGACGCTAATTCAACCGATTCTGTTTATCATTGAGATAATATTGCGAGCGTGGCGCATTATTTGCCGCTTAACATTTTATGGAAACTTTATGCTCGATTGCTCGAGCACGCGAAATTGAGAGTGTCATTTTCACTCATCGAGAACCCGTCGACAGGATTATTTATCGTTAAAATTCTCGAGAACATTCTCGAGACATCAAAGATCCATTTCCGATAAAGCAATTCCATCCGACACGAAATAGCATAAATTAGTAGCAGTATAATCATGTTTCCAAGCAATTCCCGCGGATTTGCCACACATGCTCCATGAATGAATCTATAATTGCCGATCGAGAGGGAATCGAGCACGCCGGATTCGTTACGGATGATCGAACGAAGGCTCGACGCTTCGGTTCGAGGTATAATCGTAAACTTGACTCGGTGTCTTTCTCTATGAATCGGAGCACGATCGTTCGCGGCACGGATTAAACGGGATTAATTGACTCGGGACGTTCGTATAAACGTTAACGAGCCGTTACCAGCGATACCGGCCCGTTTACGTAACAATTAAGTAACTGTTACGGGTATCTAACGACTCTGCCGGACTTTCTTCTGGTCGAAATCGACGGTCGATGTATCGTAAGGCTCTCCTGTTAGTCGGAAACTACTGTAAATTCTCCATAATTGACGCTCAGATACTGCACAAAATTGGACAATTTGAGAAGATGAGACACGACTATTCGTTTTTATAGTTACCGATTGTCAACAACTATAAAAACGAGCCGCAAGGCCATATTGATTATCCATTAATTGTATATTCTCTACACAAATTGTCTTAATTTTTCTACTGTACTGGGTTCGCGTTGAACTTTGTGAACTCGTCGATCTTCATTTTGGTTTATTATTAACAGTATCGGATATCGCTTGCATCAAAATTGTCTATTTACAGTTTTTTGTTCCACGTTTCAATGCAATAACAAGAAATGTCTCCCATCAATTTTCTCGCAGTTTTTTATTTCAGCTAAACTGATGTAACAGAACGATATCGACTCTCACAATTTTCACATAGACGGATACATGTACTAGAATCGGTCGACGCGCCAGTTCACGTGATAATCGAAAGACTCGTGGCACAAAATCGAGCAGCTGCGGGATCGATCGGTTTCTCGGGTACACGGCGCGCGATAAATGTCAATCGAGTGACTCCGCTCGGAAAAAGTTAACGGGATTGGTTACGGGCCGATACGTCGACTAACGAACCAACGTATTTGCTCTCGTTTCCGCGGACCCGACGGTTCTGAAAGTCGCTGGAAAAGGGAACTGGTACGGCCAAGCCGTTTTTCTTGCTCCGGAGCTCGATCCGGCGAGCTTCGGCATCGACCAACGATCTGAAATAAACCAGTATTCCTACTTCGTCCTCCTAATACACAATTCTTTCTTTCTTTTTAGGATCAATCCGTATATCATGTTAGTTTTAAGGCATCTCTACGTGGTCATGCTCTTCGATTTTTTGAGACCGATGGTCCTAGATAGAAAACGCTTCTGCACATCGAATCGCAAGATTTTGGAAAGTTAATTTTTATTGGCGACTGCGCGTTTATCGAAATTTTGTGGATTTCTAGTATTTGCGAACGTTTGAAGCACGTTATACGTACAGTGAACAACTTTGCTCGATTCGAAACAGTTCTGACTTTATTGTTCTAATGAGGAAATCTTTTGATAGAAGAACGATCATACGTTAACCACTTGCGCTGAAATTTTATCAATGATTAAACGAACTGTGAAAGAATTATTTGTAGTATTACCTTTGTGTTGAAGATCTTTATTATTAATCTTGTCCAGAAAGTTGAACCTTGATGAACTGCACACTGCAATGAGACATTGTTCGTATGTCGAGTTACTTATTTATTCCTTGTTCTGACTAAAGATGACGTCTGCAGTCCCAATTTCATAGAACGTTCAGTTAATTTGATCGCTATGAAAGTGTACGCATGAAAATCTGCAACGATCAATTGCCAATTTAGGGTTAAATTTAATTTTACTCGAGGACCATCGTCGACAGAAAGAAAGAAATGGAAGAGCGCCACTCGTCAAATTTCTAGCTGCAAGGCTAGGTTCTCTGTAACTGGCAAACTAATTGTGTTAAGTGATGTGGGGTTCCTCCCCATCTTCGTTGTTTCCCGCAGGTTCGCTTGCGGGGGTGGGCGTCGGTGTCGGNGCAAGGCCATATTGATTATCCATTAATTGTATATTCTCTACACAAATTGTCTTAATTTTTCTACTGTACTGGGTTCGCGTTGAACTTTGTGAACTCGTCGATCTTCATTTTGGTTTATTATTAACAGTATCGGATATCGCTTGCATCAAAATTGTCTATTTACAGTTTTTTGTTCCACGTTTCAATGCAATAACAAGAAATGTCTCCCATCAATTTTCTCGCAGTTTTTTATTTCAGCTAAACTGATGTAACAGAACGATATCGACTCTCACAATTTTCACATAGACGGATACATGTACTAGAATCGGTCGACGCGCCAGTTCACGTGATAATCGAAAGACTCGTGGCACAAAATCGAGCAGCTGCGGGATCGATCGGTTTCTCGGGTACACGGCGCGCGATAAATGTCAATCGAGTGACTCCGCTCGGAAAAAGTTAACGGGATTGGTTACGGGCCGATACGTCGACTAACGAACCAACGTATTTGCTCTCGTTTCCGCGGACCCGACGGTTCTGAAAGTCGCTGGAAAAGGGAACTGGTACGGCCAAGCCGTTTTTCTTGCTCCGGAGCTCGATCCGGCGAGCTTCGGCATCGACCAACGATCTGAAATAAACCAGTATTCCTACTTCGTCCTCCTAATACACAATTCTTTCTTTCTTTTTAGGATCAATCCGTATATCATGTTAGTTTTAAGGCATCTCTACGTGGTCATGCTCTTCGATTTTTTGAGACCGATGGTCCTAGATAGAAAACGCTTCTGCACATCGAATCGCAAGATTTTGGAAAGTTAATTTTTATTGGCGACTGCGCGTTTATCGAAATTTTGTGGATTTCTAGTATTTGCGAACGTTTGAAGCACGTTATACGTACAGTGAACAACTTTGCTCGATTCGAAACAGTTCTGACTTTATTGTTCTAATGAGGAAATCTTTTGATAGAAGAACGATCATACGTTAACCACTTGCGCTGAAATTTTATCAATGATTAAACGAACTGTGAAAGAATTATTTGTAGTATTACCTTTGTGTTGAAGATCTTTATTATTAATCTTGTCCAGAAAGTTGAACCTTGATGAACTGCACACTGCAATGAGACATTGTTCGTATGTCGAGTTACTTATTTATTCCTTGTTCTGACTAAAGATGACGTCTGCAGTCCCAATTTCATAGAACGTTCAGTTAATTTGATCGCTATGAAAGTGTACGCATGAAAATCTGCAACGATCAATTGCCAATTTAGGGTTAAATTTAATTTTACTCGAGGACCATCGTCGACAGAAAGAAAGAAATGGAAGAGCGCCACTCGTCAAATTTCTAGCTGCAAGGCTAGGTTCTCTGTAACTGGCAAACTAATTGTGTTAAGTGATGTGGGGTTCCTCCCCATCTTCGTTGTTTCCCGCAGGTTCGCTTGCGGGGGTGGGCGTCGGTGTCGGCGTGGCCGGCATGGGCGTCGGTTGTGGCAGCTCGAACCCGCTGGAGTGGACCGGCCAGGTGACGGTGCGGAAGAAGCGCAAGCCGTACTCGAAGTTCCAGACGCTGGAGCTGGAGAAGGAGTTCCTGTTCAACGCGTACGTGTCGAAGCAGAAGCGGTGGGAGCTGGCCCGTAACCTGAACCTGACGGAGCGGCAGGTGAAGATCTGGTTCCAGAACCGGCGGATGAAGAACAAGAAGAACACGCAGCGGCAGACGCAGCAGCAGAACAACAACAACAACAACAACAACAGCAGCGCGAACAACGCGAACCACCACGGGGCGACCGGAACCCATCATCATCCGAGCGCGGGCCACGCGCCACCCTCGAGTCACCACGTGGTCGCGCAGGCGCACCACGCGAACGGATCCGCGAAGCACCATCAGTGACCCGTGGCCTTCTCTGGGGTCGTCTTCGGCCACCCACACCATAGCCACGGCTCGACGAACGGCTGCGGAGCAACGGGGACCGGTGGCAGCGGGGCCTCCGGCTCCGTGACCGGCACGGTGTCCGGCGCCGGGACCGGCGCGGCGGCAGGCCTGGTCGCCGCCGGTCACAGCCACACGCTGCACGCGGCCCAGCCGCAGACACCTTTGCCGACCCACGCCGCCGCCGCCGCCGCCGGAGCCTCGAGCACCAACACGCCGCCCACCGCCGTCGTTCATCCGCACATCCATGCTCATCATCATCAGCTGGCGCACGTGGCTCAACAGTACCCGGGGTTGCTCCACCATCAAACGCCCCATGGCCTGGCCGCATGAACGATACCGTGAACTGTCAGAAGCGGCTTCGACACCCCAGAGAAATCCTCCAGGACACCAGGACTCGAGGCTACCCAGGGCAAACGGGATTCTGGGAGCTCCCCACACCTGGTCCTTACGTCGACGATCGTACAACCTCGATGTCTCCGTCGTCCCTGAAGATTCGGTGCAGCAACCGGCAGCAACCAGGAGCTCGTCGACATCGACCACGGATGATGGCTCGCACGCCTAACGAACTTTGTTCAGCAGCTGTTGAAAGACTGCCTACCACTTGTAAGGAGAGATAACGTTTTTCGCGAGTAGTATATTATTATTATTATTTTATTATTAATATTATTAACGGTCATCGTCATCCTCATCGTCATCGCGGTCGCCGCCTATCCAAACCATTCGGTGAGAAAGAGATAGGGAGATATAGGAATCGGTGTTTGTATAAAAGGAGGGTGAGAGTCGTCTTTTGCGCGGCGTCCTTGGAGAACGTCCATCGGCAGACTGTTTTTCGTCCGCGTGTCGTCGGTGTGCCGGGTGTCGTCGGTCCTCTTCGTGGACGCGCCTAATCGCGCGCCGAGAGCAATCTGTCCAATTCGTAATTCGGTAGTACTTCCTCCAGTTATACATATTATATATAGATATTATATATAGTAAAGAAAATTAGTGTCACACTTAGTGTCTGTCCCTGCCCGTGTCTCTCACGCGAACCCCAAATCATCCCCAACGTGAAAACCCTCCCCGTCCCATCGACTAACACCATTTCCTAACCTAACTCTCCCATCAGGAACCACGGACGTCCTTGCACTGTTCAGCTCGTCCGTTGCGTGGAGAACTTTTCGAAGAATCTAGGGAGCATCGTGCGCCCGATCGCCGTGGAACCGTTCCGGACGCGACGCTACGGGGCCTTATGAAACCGGCCACGGTCTCTAGAGGATCGCCAGACTGCAGGAGCGTACTCTGTGGGGGTAAGTGTCGAAACGGGTCGTTCCAAGCATCGGAAGAATCGATTCGTTTTCTAGATATTCTTCGCGACAATTTGTTCTGTAGTTTACAATGGCGGGTCTGGTGATCCACTGTGGGCTCCGCGAGGTTGTCGCTTTTTTTTTATTGGAAAATTGACACGAAATCTACCGTGCCGGTCGAGATGACCGGTTCCACATTTTGTATCGTAAAATCGTTAAGATTATAAGGCGTTTTTCGTAGGTAACGATTGCAGAAACTTCTTGATTCAAGCACATGTGATAACGAAAGCAGCAATGCGTCTAAATAAATTCGGTCCTGTAGTTTTTATAAAGTAGGACGCGTCGGATTTTTCTTTAGAGCCCGGTAGGTTTGGTGTTAGCAAGTTGATTGCCGCGCGATTCAATTTTATTAACCACGTATAAAAGTTTATTTCTGTTGTGATATGTTCGGACACATTGATTCTTGTTGGGGGTTGAAAGGTTGCTATAGAGTCCTAGGCTACTAGGATGCTTTTAGAATCCTGGAATTCCAGCATAATCGAGGTTTCTAGGTTCTAGAAGTTGTATCGCGATAGTTTCTCGCTCGGCAGTCAACGCGTTGCAACTGTTCGTCGACATGAAACCTTGGAAGAGCCACGATTCGACTCGATGAAGCGCAGATTATTAGCTGCTTGTATCAGGTCCAATAAACAGATCAATGAAAGATTAAAAAAAGAAAAGGAAAAGTCACTTTGAGAGGGCGAATTAAAGGTGAAGATGATCGAATCTAGAAGCGATAATGCAAAAGACTGCTAGAGGAAGATCGTGGCTCTCGTTCGCGGAGAAAATTCGCAGCTGTCGAGCGGTTCCTCGCGTTCAACGATGATCGCTACTGTCTGTGATTCCCGGAAAGTACTAAATTATTTGGGAGACGCTGGTCATACGCGGCCGTCAGCGGCGAAGCTGGACAGTGAGACCGATATCCGATAATCCTCGCACATTTCCGACGTAGATCGGTAGATCCAATCCGCAGAAATTCGTTCGGACCGTGTAAACGAGAGATTCGTTGGACCGCTGATGGATCGAGAGCGATCGGACCATTGTAGATAACTTCTCTATCCGTCTGGTCGCGTGTCTCTAACCGCTGGAGACATCAGCGGTCGAAGAAATCGCGAGAGGTTAACGGCTGGGACCGGATCGTGCTGGGTCCCCGACGCAACCTCGTCGGCAAAACGCGGTAGCGAGGACGTTTTTCGTCCGGACTCCGGTCACGGTTGCGTCGGTGACACCCGAGAAACGTCCCGGCGGAGAGCCATGCGTTCGGAGAATTAGTCTAATTATGTCCAGAGTGTCGTATTCATCGCCTACCAAGGATCGCAAACTAGTACCTATGATTCTTATATTATATGTAAAAAAAAACAACTGCGACTTAGATTTAAAGGTATACTTAGTGGACCGGCTGGTCGAGTGCACCGCCCTAAGGCCGGGCTTAGGATCCTCGTCGCGGAACCATGGATCGCAGGGATCGAGGACCCGATCTCCTTTTCCTTTAGCATTTTCATTTCGAAGGACTTTGTTAATCGTTTTTTAGTATTATTAGATTGTTGAATCTTAGGGTCCTCGATCCTTCGGAACACGAGGACGGCGAACCGGGGGATGCTGTTATGCCGATATTTGTCGCGAGAACCGGGGACACGACGGGGTGATCTTTGGAGTTTCACGTTCGATCGACGGCCTATCGTCGAGCTAAGATGAAACTGCGGCCCCGGCTTGGTCCCGGCTCGATCTTCCGCTCGACGCGACGTTCGTCCTTGAATCTTCCGTAGCGTGTGTATATTTAGGGGACCCCGGAAACGTTGCAGAAGAGCTCAAAAGTGGAGATTCCCGAGGGAATGACAAAACAGTTTGCCGAAGACTGATGGATCGGTCGCGTAGTCCTCCCCCGCGGATTCAGGGACGAGCGGTGGTTGTACGTGTCTGAGATTACGGAGGATCGATCGGGATCGATGGATGCACGGGGATGACGGGGTGCTAAGCGCGGCCGCGGATCGAAGATGGCGACGCGTTTACCTTTTAATCGGTACGTCGGCGAGCAAGTAGGTAATTTAATCGGATGTTAAATGAAAATAAATATCCCAGTGGATCTCTATTCTCTAAGGTGCAACATTATCTAAATTATAAGGGCCGCTGAACGCGAGTGTGCATGCCTACGATTATACTATAATATAAATGTATACATACACGCGTATTTTCTGTATGTACATTAGTGTGCTTGTGCGCGCACGCGCGCGTCGACGATGTGTGACACGTGGATTTTATATGTAACAGGGACCGTTGTCTCTTCCGGTTTCGAAAACTTCAAGACTCGAGAAAGAGAACGAAAGAGAACGAAAGAGAGAGAGAGAGGGAGAGAGAGAAAGAGAGAGAACGGACGTGACTGGAAAATTGTATCGAGCCGATTTTCCGCGGGAGCTTATTATTTTCGAATCGAAGGAGAGACGTTTCCTCGAGCGTGATCCGTCGCGATCCGAGTGCCAGTATAAATGTGACAGAGCAAAATTGAGTTTCTCATTTGTCGATGTATAGGTTGTTGCACGTGAATATTCGACTATGTTTTTTTTTTTTTGTAAGTGGAAACGATTGGAAAACGGAACCGTCGCTGCTGTGTAATCATGTTATGTTAAATTGTTTATTTTATTGTTTACGAGGAGCTGCTTGTTTTGGCAATAAATTGTTCGACGATTGTTTAAGCGAACGAAACGACTAATTTCCTTCACATTTTTCATTTATTCTCTCTCTTTGAATGGCGTCGATAGGGAACCGATACGGGGGAGGATTTATCGGGATTCGCCGAGAAAATCGCGCTCGGCAAACTTATTTCGAATCGAAGAAGTCGCTCGCTTCAAGTGCAACGACCTAACAGCGGGGAGCACTATAGATCCCTCAAAATAAATTCCTCATTCAAGGTCGCTGCGTCGCAGTCTTCGCTTTATTTTCTCGGGAACAAAGTTAATAGTTGATTCGGTGCAAGACGAAATTGATAACTAGTGGAGTTGCGCGAAAGATATTGCTCGTTCAAGATCGTTCCTCGCGAGTGACCTTCAGTCTATATCCTTTCCGAGGTAAAACGCGATGTACAATTTTCAATATCTCTTCAGCAGAAATTTCTGTAAAATCTGTTTTTCATTGTCAAAATCGGAATTTGTAACGTATAATTCGCTCGACCTTCCTCGAATCTGACGGACAATGCACATCCGGCATTTTCCGCAAATAAACGTTTAACCCTTGGCCGGTACGCGAGATGGCTTCGTTTAGTAGATTCTCCAATCCCGCAGCACTAAATTCATATTTTGCTATGTCTCGATGTAAAAAATGTTCCTGGGAATTTCGTGTTTCCGACGGCACATTCGCCGACAAAAGTTTACGCGACCGGTGAAGGGTTAATCGAACGCGGTTTATTAAGAATCATACGGTATTCGAGTAACGAGAAACGCGGCGCATCGGAAGGAAATTGGAAAATCTCTAGCGGAAAACCGGGAGAGTCGGCAGCCCAGCCTCGCACCGGAAAATCGATAGCAGAGAGAGCGAGAGAGGGAAAGAGAGAAAGAGAAGCACCGAGAGAACCGGAATTTCTTAAAAGCGCGGACCCGCGCGCGCGCGCTCTCGCATGAAACAGAAAGAGAGAGAGAGAGAAAGAGAGCGAGAGAGAGAGAGAGAGAGAGAGAGATTGAATGAGAGGTGAAACGAAAGTCTTGTTCGTGTGTGAGAGAAACGACGACTAGAGTGAGTCAAAAAGGGAAATAGTTATCGGAAAAGAGTAAAGTGAATCGCAGCCGTAGATGACTAAAGAAGAGGGCGTAGAGATTAACTTGTGTGTGTGTAAGAGAGAGAGAGAGAGAGAGAGAGAGAGAGAGAGAGAGAGAGAGAGAGAACGGGAGAGAGAGAGAGACATGTATCGTATAATTAGACTAACGTTAAAACGAGGAAAAACCAGATAGAACAGCGGCAGGATACACACGAACAATACACAAACACACATCAACGGAGGAATCGCACACGTACACGGTCACAGGCACACGCAACGCGAGATTGTGACTCGGATTAACGATTAAATATAGTTCCGCCACGATTACTATGGTACATTAATTATGTAACGAGGATAAACTATGATACAGTATAAGTACACGTGAATAATGGGAATAAAAAAACGCTAGATATGAAAATGAATACGTGAGAGGGGATGCTCGAGGGACGTTGGATCGTTTGAGGTACGTGTGTGTGTGTGTCTGTGAGAGAGATCGGTGAGAAAAACGGGGGAGGAAAAGAATGAAAGAGGAAGAGAGAGAGAGAGAGAGAGAGAGAGAGAGAGAGAGAGAGACAGTAGAAATTGAGGTGAGAGCGCGCGAGTGTACAGCTGTATTTATGGACGTGATGATCGAGGATCGCAGTCGGCGATCAGCAATCCGGACTTTGTGAATCGGCGTGTAATTAATTGATAATGAATCTCATCCCCACCCAATTCCCGCCGCTGACGATGTTCAACCGCGATTATTACGATTATTATATCACAATGATGATTATTATTATATTATTATTATTATTTTATTATATTATTATTATTATTATTATTATTACTATTATTATATTATTATTGTGAGCGTCACGTTAATATTATGTTATTGTTTTTATTGTGTGTTGTTTTGTATGTACCTATCAGCCTATAGCGATCATGATATTATTAATTGCGTCGGTGATCAGGCAATGGACCCACACACGCGCACATTCA